ATCAAGTCCCACAAAGTTTCCCAAAAACGAATATTTCTCACAAAAGATCCTTCTAAACGATGTCTCTAGCTAGCTTCCTTGAGTATTCTAAATTACTCTTATCACCTTTGGATGTCCTTCATGCATGGTATTTTGAATCACAACTTTGTGTTCTCTTGGTTCTCTCCCAATTCGGTTTCTGAACTATTACTATAGCTGAGCTGGAGGAGTAATTCAGTGTTGTAGTTCGTTCTTTGTCCTTTTGATTTCATATTATTGCAATTCTGCATAGAGTAATGGACTTGTGTTCTTTCGTCAGATTTCATTTTTATAGTACAGCTTACTATAATGGTTTGTATTGTTTGCAACTGTAATCTTTTTGGACCATATTGACTGGTGAATATAATTTTTTGTGATCTCTTTGGTTTTCAGTTATTGCATGCAGAAACTTGATACGGAAGCTTGGGACGATTGGGTTTGCGAAGAATGTCTTGGAGAGGAAAACAATTTAGCATCCCCCACCGATTTAGACCACCATGGTATCATGCATCCATCAGGTAACAGCAGAGTTCTTGATAACTCGGGGTGGCAAGTTCATTCTAGAAGGCAAAAGCCGGTTGGAACTGGAAAAGTTAAGTACATTTCAGAAGGAGAAGTCATAAGGCTATCATCAGGAGTTGAAATAACGAGATCACAGCGAAATACTTTCGGCTTCAAACCTGGTCAGTCAAATTCTACAGCACTTATGTCCCAAAGGACTACTTTTGGCTCTAAAAGTGTGATACCGAGGTCTCCACCGCCTGCAATCAAAGGAAATCCTAGCATTGTGGCTTCAGGACATGTGAAGCCTCCTAGCTGTGGCAGGAATATCAAGATGTCAAGCATCTCAAAGATAAATCAGCAAACATCTCCAATATTGAAGGATTCAAAAGGTGACAAATCTTTAACCTTTTGTCTTAAGTTTGTCTTATAATCGTTGATATGCAATATAGAAACGGAGATATGGATGATTGAGTACATACTAGATTAGTCAAAACTTTTTGATATACTCTTACTGGTGCATTTGGTTGCTTTGATCCTTCTTCAGAACCAAAGGCTCCTTTTGCTCAGAACTCAAAGAAATATATTTCCAGTGATCACCGAGTAGTTGCAACCTCGCCTGTTAAAGAAGCCAAATCATCAAAGCTCAGTATACACAGTCGGATAACGAATCCAAGTATGATGTCTTGTAATTTTCTTTCATTGTTGGAATGAAAATTTGTAACTATTTCTTACTCGAAGAAAATTTAAAGTTTTCTCTCGTTACTTTAAAGTGTTGAGACTGTGTTTGTTGTATCTCACCTGTTTCATGTTGAAAATTTTTGTGTGTGTTACTAAAAATGTGAAGATGGTCTCTAGAGATTTTTGTAACTTTGATAAATGGTTCTTGTATGTGCAATGCTTATGATCTCTGATTCCATCTATAGAAACAAAGACTTCAGTAGCTTATGGAAAGGAGCATATTCGGGAGAAGCAATCAAAGGATGTCCTAGTTCCAGCAACATCAATTGAAACAAAGAACCCAGTAGCTCCTGGAGAGGAGCATGTTCGGGAAAAGCAACCACAAGATGTTTTAATTCCAAGACCAGATGTAACTTCTCGGAAGAAGAGGGTTACTGCAATTGAAAAGGAGCCGTGCACAGTTTCAACAATGAGGCCCTCCTCACCTATGTCCAGTCCAGGCAAGGATTATAACTTACAATTTTTTTGGAATTGCATTATTGGTTCTTCTTCAAGTTTTCTAGTAAGTTTCACAAAATTGATGATATATTTACGTGGTAATTTGTGGGTTTGAAATTGTAGCCCAGCTGTGACTGTGGCTAGTAATATATTGGATCTACGCAACTTTTGAATCTACCTTACTTTATCTGGTAACTCTTGTGTTGCAGAACATAACCATGCAGATGCTGAAGAAAGAGATCTCGAGAATAAGCTTGCTAGTCTCAATCTAAATCACTCAAGTCTTCCTGCTCTACAAGTCACTTGGAGGTGGGTAACTTGTCCATTTAAGATGTTACATATTCATATTCTATCAAGATTTCGCTAACTCGTGTATTGATTTGAGTTATGGAGTGCCAAACATAATTAAGTGAATACTTATTTGGTAAGTTGATCAGAAAAGAAGTTGCAGATGCATGTATAAGTTGATATTTTAAAGTCATTCAAATAATTAAGTACTTCCAAAACCTTAATTGATATTTCTTTCTATAGGGGAGGCTTCATTGTTGATACAGCTACAGCTAATGAATTCATCAGAGGGTTCCAGGGACGACCTCCATGTAAGATCCATCCTAAAGCCTATAGATTTGCACAAACAATGCCTCCTGTCCTCAAGGCGAATTTTATTCCTCGATCCCAACTTTGGACTGATATATTCCAAGACCAACCTCCTGACCTTCAAGATGTTGGAATTTACTTTTTCCCTGATAGAAATATTGAGAGGTTTGTTTTGGCTTCTGATTGCATGGTTTTTGATATCGGAATTATTCTGTCAATGCAACTTTAGAACATTTTTCTTTTCCTACCGATTAGTAGATCAAGAGAGAACCATGCTCGGCTGATTGAGCGGATGGAGAAAGAAGATTCGATGATGAGAATTTGCTTTGACGACCAGGGCGTGGAGTTGCTAATATTTACATCAGAACAGCTACAGTTAGACACGCAGTGTGAGTTTTTCCTTATGAACTTCCTATTCTTTTGCAGCGACTTCAGATTTCTTTCATCTGTGAAGGCCATTTGGATTACTTTTTCGGTCTTTTACCATGTAGAAAACTTCTGTATTGACGTGTGTTAGATACATAGCTTATCTACCATTAACAAACATGTTCATGTCAACAGTGACAAGCTTCTTATGGGGAATCTTTCATTGTACGAAAAACTATCAAGTTGAAGCAAACATGGTTGACAATCAGAGTGTGGACATGGAAATCGACATGGAAGGTGGAAATATGGTGGGAAGAGTTGATGTTGTGATTCAGAGGGATCCAAAGGTTACTAGAAAAGGCAAAACATCATCAGGTACTACTTTCAAACCTTTATATTTGTTCCTTAAACATGAACTTTCCTGTGCTTTGTCAATAGAACGTGTTGATTATTGATGCTTATACTCAACCGTTTTCAGAAGTGAAAACCAGATATGGCCCGCGATCAAACTCGAGGAATGAAGGTGGTGAAATCTCCAGTGATGCAGAGAAGGAAGAATTGGCACGTCCACCGGGTTTTAGTGAGGGCAGTCCTCAGAGTGCTACTGGTTCAACTGAGGGAATGGCAGGGCTGTCTTCATCTTTTCGACGCAGAGATTGAATCTGCCGCTAAAGAGTTAGATTTTGATGCATAACCAAACTTTTGAAAACAAGAGTAGAGTCAGATATAGCTATCTGGTAAAAGATATATAGACATATGAAAGGGGGAAAAAAACAGAGTCCTCTGTTTTGGAACATTGTGTTTTTAGGCATATGGAGGAAGAAAACAAGTAATTGTTCAGAAATTAGAGTTACAGTTAAGTTTTTGGTGAAATGAAGGTCATTGTGTAGCTCCTCTTGGGACTACAATAGACTCAGAAAAATCATTTATAGTAGACTTCCGTTGAACTAAACTTCGTGTTTGTGCAAATAATTGTTGACATCTTGAACTCCGGAACGACGGGAAATTTTGAGTAAATTATAGCTATGGTCCCTTAACTTTAACTCAATTGGAGCAATGATCTCTCAACTAAAAATTCATTATCATTGGTTCCTCAACTCTTCAAAACGTGTAGTTATGGTCTCTCAACTAAAAATCCATTACCATTAGTCTTTCAACTTTAATTCAACTGAAGAAATGATCTCTTAACTTTAACCCAATTATAGCAATGGTCATTCCAACATAATTCGTTTTGACAAATTTTTTGATGTAATTGACGAAAATGATCATAATTACACATTTTGATGAGTTGAGGGACCCTAATTATATAAATGGTTATTCCAACATAACTTATTTTGAAAAAAATTTGACGAAATTGATAAAAATGACTATAGCTATACATTTTGATAAGTTGAGGGACCAATGGTAATGAATTTTTAGTTGAGGGACCATTACTCCAATTTGATTAAAGTTGAGAGGCCATTGCTACAATTTACTCTAGTATAATACTTAAACATGTGCATCACATGATGAGTATAGGGTATTATACTTGATGCAGTGTAATTCTCGTGACATTCATATGTTTAAGTTCAATTGTTGACATCATATGTTGAATTATTTGTGGGATCAGGATCCTCTCTTGAGCAAATGGAGAGGATCTTTCTGATCAGGCACATCGAACCGTTTAATTTTTATCTAACGGCTACAAACATGAATCCTTCTAAAAATTATAATAATTATAACGATTGGATAAAAATTGACCGGCCCAACAGACCTGGTCAGGAGGATCCCCTCCATCTGCTCAGGAGAGGATCCTAATCCTTATTTGTGATACATAAAAAATGCATTTAATAGATTAATGCACTCCTTCCTTCGTACAAATTGAATAAAATTGTCTCACCTCAGTAAATTAAGAAAACCTCAAAGGGCTAGTGAGGAGTACGGTCATTCCTTCAATCAAAAGACGCAATTTTGAAATTTCAAATCTTGATTTATCTATAAAAACAAAAATCTTGATTTGTTCATAAAAGTTAAAAAGAAAAAGAGAGAATAAAAAAAGCAAAGATACAAAAAAAGAAGAGATTTTTTTTTGGGAAAATGATCATCGTCGGATTTTTTTTTAGGACTATAGGGATTTTGTGATTATAATTGTTCATCGTATGATGTACGATAAACAATCACAATCACGGAATTTCTAAAATTTAAAAAAATGGATCCGGCAAGGATCCTTCCCCATTTTTTTGTATACTGAAAATATGTTCCGGTACGATAATTGTTATAATATAATTAATTAAAAATTTGACAAATTTTTTTTAATTAATTGTGTTATAATACTTGATGTTATTCGTAGTTAAAAATCGGGATACGCAAAACAAAGCAATTTATTTTTGACGTTTTCTAGACAGCGGATTGGCTGCCTCACTCTTCCCCTTCCTGCTTTCGTGGTCTCACAGAGAGGAGAGAGAGGATGGAGGTTGCTGAAGATATTGACTGTGAGAACAAAAGTCAGCAGCAGAAGAGGACGAGGAGGGTAGGATTGTTGTACGACGAGAGGATGTGTAAGCACTCCACACCCGACGGCGATCCTCATCCGGAAAACCCCAATCGAATTAAGGCAATCTGGAACAAGCTCCAATCAGCTGCCATTCCCCAGAGGTACACACATTTGTACATATATATGTTTGTGTGTGTATACACACACATGAGTGTTTGGCTGCTGAGAAAATAACAAGAAAAGCGAGGGAAAATCAAAGAGAGGAGAAAACTTTACATGTCTGTGTAATACTAGTATTCATTTAGCTTATGAAAGCCCAGTAATTTTTATAAGCTGCTGCATTTACTGCTGTGAATTCCATAGAATCAACTTAATTTCTTGTGTATGGTGCTCAAATGCAATCATACGTTGTCTTGGAATTTAAGGGAAACTGATTCTCAAAGTTTTTTCCAGGTTAAAGTTTTCGTCTTTACAATAACAGGGCTATAATATAAAATGGGATTTGAGCATAAATAAATTGTCTTGTGTATGAAAGATATTTGCTAGGTGGTGATATTTCGAAATCTGTATTTTTTTCAGGTGTGTTGTTTTGGAAGCAAAAGAAGCAGAAGACAAGCATATCTTGTCAGTTCACACCAAAAAACATGTTGATCTGATTAGGAATATAAGCTCCAAACAGTTTAATTCACGGAGAAACCGGATTGCATCGAAATTCAATTCCATATATCTCAATGAAGGATCATCCGAAGCTGCCTACCTTGCTGCGGGCTCTGCCATAGAGGTAATTCTTGTGGGCCTGAACTTGTGCTTGTTTGAAGTGCTGAGTAGATTTTTGTTACACAACGAAAATATGTGAAACTGTCAATTTCTGTTAATTTCATGATCCTGTCTCCTTCTGAATTCAACCCATGATTTGCAATTTTATTGCAATTTCAAAATCAGTTACAAATGAAGCTACTTTCACATGTTTCATACAGTTTCAGTCTAAGTGTGTCTCCTGCAAATAACTTATGTGTTACATTTCAAATTTGTATAACCTAACTATGGATGTTTCCTTAAATAGGTGGCGGAAAGAGTTGCCAAAGGCGAACTGGATTCTGCCATGGCTATCATTAGGCCTCCAGGACATCATGCGGAACAAGACGAAGCTATGGGATTTTGTCTGTACAACAATGTAGCTATTGCAGCAAGTGTCCTTTTAAATGAAAAAGTATGACCTGCCTTGTAGTTATTCAGAAATTAGAACTTAACTTTTGAGCCTTGCAGTTTCCTTTTATTTTATTTATAAAACGTGGAATAATTGTTTTGAAAATTCAACTTTGTTTTTTGCATTTATTAATAAGGTTGTCACCTAAGGGCATCATATTCACATGTTCTAATTGACAGCCAGAACTGGGTATCAACAAAATTTTAATCGTTGATTGGGATGTGCATCATGGTAATGGTACTCAAAAGATGTTCTGGAAGGATCCTCGTGTTTTATTCTTCTCGGTTCATAGGTATGCCAGAATTTTGAATTGATACTTGTTCTTTTCCTTTTCCTTGATCTTCTAAGCCTATGTTTAACATAACAAAGTTGAAGTTAGATTCCATCATGTAGTGCTTTGTTCTTTTCTTGAATTTAAGTTTCCTATAAGGTTTTTTATTTACACTTTTCAAGGATTCTGTAATTTTAAAATTTCTAACTTCTATCATTGTATCAAAAAGTTATCACATTGGAGCTTGTAGTATGTAACTTGTTTGGTTGACTTGTCTTGCATAAGATCAAAGTTCCTAATTCTGATGACAGGATGGTGTTGTGCTTTTTTCAGGCATGAGTTTGGAAGTTTTTATCCAGCTAATGGTGATGGCTTCTATACGATGATTGGAGAAGGACCTGGAGCAGGATACAACATTAATGTCCCCTGGGAAAATGGCCGGTGTGGGGACGCAGACTATTTTGCAGTTTGGGACCATATTTTGGTTCCTGTTGCCAAGGAGTTTAATCCCGACTTAATTATAGTCTCTGCAGGATTTGATGCAGGTTGGTGGGCAAACTTTCTCTGTTTAATGCAGGTTGCAGAATGAGTTTTCATTTTATTGTGTGGAAAGTTTTGGTTGTCGTAGTACTTATCTTTGGTATCTATTCAAGTATCATAATTGTTAATTTTCGAATTTGTTGAAACAGCTGCTGGTGATCCTCTAGGGGGTTGTCGTGTCACGCCATATGGATACGCAGTTATGTTGAAAAAGGTCGTTTTACAGTTTCTCTTTTCTCATTAATGAGGCCTTGATTATTGTATGATGTTTGACATAGTTTTATTGTTTTTCAGTTGATGAGTTTTGCCAACGGAAAAATCGTGTTGGCTTTAGAAGGAGGATACAATCTCGAGTCTATTGCAAGTTCAACTCTTTCTTGTGTTGAAGTTCTGCTGGACGACAATCCTATTCATGGGTCTTCGGAGGCATACCCATTTGAGTCTACATGGCGTGTGATACAAGCGGTATATTAACATTTTGAACCTTTTTTGTTTTAATGTTTTTCCTGTACTTTCTGTTGGGTTATCCATTTCTCCTTGTACTCAATTCTACTTGATTTTATTTACTGTGAGTCGATTCTTTGTTTCTTTAATGCATATGTATTTTTTTTTCCAGGTTCGCCGGAAACTAAGTGCTTTCTGGCCATCACTTGCAGATAAATTACCAGAGACGCTAACCAATCAAAAAACTCCTCCAGCTTCGGTATGTTTCCTTTTATCTCATTAGTACTGTGTTGTTGTTGATCCTAAAAACTACCAAGCCTACATGGCGCGCAGGCCAAGTAATTAATAAGTTAACTACGCCATTCGGTTGTATGTGGAGCGTGCCAACTAGTCGGCCTAGCTTGGTCGGGAAGTAAAATATGCTGATGCGGCGTTGGGCACTCTACTGACTTCTTGATCTTGCAAGCCGAGGAAGGAACATGTCTCGGCCTTCAGGTTCTAGAGCCTAAAGACAAGGCTGCTAGTTCTACGAAGTTCACAAATCGTCGGCACCGGGTTTGGTCATGGTGATTATTTTCGTAAGAGTATAAGCACGCCGAACTAGCACCAGACTATACGGACACAAATACTCGAATGAAATAAATGTCTTGATGGTAAATGTGGTTCGGCCGTCAGAATGCCGAACTCTAAAATGTACTTGTGAATATCCAATCATAAAATGAAACTCGTCTTTCAATGTGCCGTGCCTAGTAACCTAGTAATACCTTACTTTGCCAAGAAGGCTAATGAGATGACCTCTACCAACAAGGATTTGAAAATCCTTCTCGATCGGGACTTGAATAAATAACCAGTCGGCCTCGAAGTAGTGTTGTCTATCCAAACTGAAGGTGCTCCTCGGTCGGTTGATTCTACTGCTCCAGTGCTATCTATCCAAACTGAAGATGTCGCTAGTTGCCTTCACAGTGTTGTCTATCCAAACTGAAGATGTGTTAGTGGGAAGAATGGGGAAAAGGAAAAATTCTCAGGGTTGTTGAGAAGCTTTGCGCAATGCAATTTGTGTGTTGATTTGAAGGGCTTGAATGATGCACTCCTTTTTCTATTTGTAGCAGCGAATCCTCTCATGGTCGAACTAGAAATGGACTAGGATTAGAACTCCACAACCCAATTTGATCAGGTTTCGGCTATTCCTAATTCTTATAGGACTTTGAACCAAGCTCTTTAACAAACCAGTTCATCCCTTAATTCTCAGCATCCTTAGCCTTAAGACTCCTTGTTGCACTAGGATTCGATTTACTCACCTTTATCCAAACCAAACCTCTTCGTAATAGGATTCGGCCGAACTTGATTGGACGACCCATGACAAGATTCTAGATGAATGTAACTGGACCGAAGCTTTACTCTAGGCTCGGCCCAAAACAATATTTTTGGCTCAAACAGTTGTATATTGCTTCTGGTTGGGTAGTCGAGACAACTGGCAACGTTGTTCGGCCCCAAAAGCGCATCAAGAAAAAGGCAACCGGCAACGTTGCGTGGCCCCAAAAGCACATCAAGAAAAAGGCAAAGAAGGGAGAGCAGGAAATTCACGTCATTTCAAGTCAGACCACGGGAACAACCACTCCTAGTATCCCTCTCCATTCTCCTATCGTCCAGGCCTCGATGGAAATACCGCAAAACCCTCCGATGGATCAAGCGATTAAGGTTCGACCCACCACGCAAGCCGTTGTTGAACCAGTCGTTGCCCATCGATCGAGGGTCTAGCAACTTCGGGGTCTGTCGTTAATCCTGATGTCGGCCTAGTAGCCGCTGCTTTGGAGAAGGCGGCCACCACAGCCGAGAGAAACCCTTCTTTAAATCTAAAAAAGACTCCAGTGATTGTCCTGGAAGAAGAGTTACAACCATTTTCTTTAATAATGTTCTCCTTTTATTTTAATTGGATCTCCTGACTAACGAACAATCCTTTTTTATGACCAGGAGAACGAGAGTGAAGTACCCTCGTTGGTGAGGTGCCCTCGATTGACCAAACTGCCAACTACCAGTCCCCAGTCAGCGGTTGAGGCGGCTGGCCATGTCAACCCTCCTGCGGCCGAAGTAGGTTCGGGACATGAAGCGACGCCTCCAGTCGAGCCAGAAGCGACAGCAGAAATGCTGGTTCATCCTCAGAACCAAAATCTCATTCCTCCTCAGGAGGTCACTTCGACTTTTGTAAGGCTCAATCATTTTCTTTTATTAATAATTTCTAACCTTAAGAACTCTAAACCAAGAAAACATTACATGCCAGGTGCCCAATCGCTCATTTCATCGAAAATTCTATGCGCCGAAGGGCGTTATTTATATTTCCTGGTCACCCCAGTGGCCATTAAATGTAGATAACCTTCATCGGCTGCATGAATTTAAAAGTTTCCTTAAACATTGGGCTAGGCCATTAAGCTCTCTGGGTTCGAGTAATGAACTAGCACACATGGTCGAAGTCTTTTTTCGGCAGGTCTAAAACAACTTCCTTCTCTGCCATCCTTTTGAATTCTCATTTTTCTAACAGTTCTTCTCTATGCAGCCTTCATGGGAGGTCGAGCTCGACGCCTTCCTCTCCAACACTTATAAGACGGTTAGGCCTTCTGCAACTGTGGCTAAGTCTAGTGCCCTTGCAAAGCTGCAGGAGCTTCTGTGTCTTTCGGCCTCGCAAATCCTCCAACGCAAAGGACTCGATTATGTAGGAGAATGTCTTAACGACCTTGCAACCGACGACTTTCTGAGCAACGAGAGTGTCGTTCACTTGTCTACTGTCCTAGAACAAACCCGACAATATTTCACTACCTTCGAGAGGGCTCTTCAGGCAGAGGATGACCTCAAGGCTGCAATGGTCACTCATGAAGCTATCCAACCAGAGCTCGAGGCCATAAAGGCAGAGGATGACCTCAAGGCTGCAATCGTCAAATCATTGAACTTCAACGTCAAATCACTAAACTTCAACATCAAAGGTCGGCCGTTGCTTCTGAGCTTGAAAAGGATTTTGAGTCGAATAAACCTTGGTTGGTAGAGTACGTGGCTTGCGCAAAGCGGATACATCAACTACAACTTGACAAAAGAACAAGACAGGCCGAGGTTACGATGGGCGAAGCAAGGTGGCTAGAACTGAAAGCCGCTCTTGAAGCTTTTCTTCCTTTGACCCTTTAGGACTTTATCTTTAGTTGTAGGCTGATTGACTCTTTGTAATTTTGCTTGTACGCCCTTAGATTCCCAAGTGATCAGATAATACTTTTTTAAGAATTTCGCATTGATTGGTAATGTATGAACTAAACCAGTTCGATCCTTAAGGTGGTATGCCCTCTTGCCGAGAACTTTGTGGACGACGAATGGTCCGTCCCAATTTTGCGACCATTTCCCAAATTTAGGGTCTTTAATCCCTACTGGCAACACGGTTTGCCATACTAATTCACCTTCACAGAACGTCTTTTGCCTAACTCGTAGATTATAAGCTCGTTCGGCAATTTTTTTTCTGTGTCATTAGTAAGTTATAGGCATCGAGTCGAGCCTCCAAGTCCTCCAACTCTTGCCTCATGGCCTGACTGTACTCGGCACTGAACAAACTGTTTTGTTCGATAACTCGTAACGAGTTTATGCTTAGCTTGAGCATCGCGTCATGTCCTTAAGTCAACGCATATGGGGTCGTCCCTTTTGTTGATCAGAGTGAAGTTCGATATGTCCATAATGCCTCATTTAACTTCAAATGCTACATACCAGGCTTTTCTTTTATCATTTTCTCAAGGATACCGATAAAACTTTATTACTTGCTTCGACCTGTCCACTTGCTTGTGGGTAATACGGTGTGGACTGATTGAGCCCAATTTTCAAACTCGCCACGTATTCTTTAAACTTGTTGGCTGTAAAAATTGTGTTGTTCGTTATAATTGTTTTTGGTACGCCAAATCTTGTCACGATGTTTTCTTCTACAAAATACAGACTTCTTTAGAAGTTAACTTGGCGTATGACTTTGGTTAGACCCACTTGGTGAAATAGTCCGTTGCTACGAGTATCCATGCATGCTTTGCTGATCTGGAAGACAACGTAATTTTGCCGATTACATCCATGGCCCATCCTCTGAACGGCCATGGTTTGGTGACTGAGTGAAGTAATTCGGCCGGGACCCTCTGTATGGGCCCATGGATTTGACATTGTACACAACCTCGCGTGTATTCAATGCAATCTTTCAACATACTCGGCCTAAAATAGCCGTGTTGGCGGAGCAACCACCGTGTTTTACTTTCGGATTGAGGAGCCCCGCATATCCCTTTGTGTACCTCTGTAATAGCTTGGGCGGCCTTTTCCGGGCCGAGGCACAATTGCAACAGACCGTCTTCACAATTGCAACAGACCGTCTTGCGGTTGTGGTTGCCACTGGGATGATTTGAAGGGGCTTGAATGATGCACTCCCTTCTCTATTTATAGCAGCGAATCCCTTCATGGCCGAACTAGAAATGGACTAGGATTATAACTCCTCAACCCAATCTGATCGGGTTATGGCCATTCCTAATTCCTATAGGACTTTGAACCAAGCTCTTTAACAAACCAGATTCATCCCCTAATTCTCAGCATCCTGAGCCTTAAGGACTCTTTGTTGCACTAGGATTCGACTAACTCACCCTTATCCAAACCAAACCTCTTCGTAATAGGATTCGGCCTACCTTGATTGGACGGCCCATGATAAGATTCTAGATGAATGTAACTGGACCAAAGCTTGACTCTAAGCTCGGCCCAAAACAATATTTTGGGCCCAAACAGTTGTATATTGCTTCTGGTTGGGTAGTTAATAATTCTATTTGAACACTCGAATATCTCTCAGTACTTGGCTTCTATTTCTTTTCTTCCCCACAAACATTTCTGAGATACTTGTTCTGCAATTCTAGTATATTGTGACCTCAAGCTCTGATTCTGAAGCGGAGGACAACGAAGATCCAAAAATCATATCTAAACATCTTGAGGATGTTCTTCAAGATGTTATAGAGCCCTTCTCGAAGTTGAAAGTTGACGGAAGTATTCAAGGTAAATTGATAACTGAGATTTAGGAATTGATTTCACTATTTGTTTTAGTTCATATTATGAGCTGTTAACTTAATCCAGATCATGTGGCAAGTAATTCTTGCACCTGGAGGTCAGAGCTTTCAAAGGTCGATATTTGGTATGCCTCTTTCGGATCAAATCTGTGTTTGGAAAGATTTCTCTGCTATATTAAAGGTGGACAGGTAATATGCAATCCCAAAAACTTTTGTTTAATATCATTGTTGAATATGAAACATACATATTATGAGCTTCAGTATTTCGCTGACAGCGGTTTGGTTATAAGCTTATAGTATCATGGATATTAGATAATCAATACTGTGATACTGCCCTTGTTTTCCCTTGTCTCTTCTCTTCTTCCCACCATATACAAATGTTGACATCCACAAGATGATTTTCAGATGGAAGGTATGAAAACGCCATTTCCTGGTTGTGCGGACAAAACTCCCCCAAAGGAGATTGTGTGGAAGACTTTCCCTCGTCGCTTGTTCTTTGGTCGTGAATCTACACATACATGGGGTCCTGGAGGGGTCGCTTTCCTTAATCCCGAAAGCAACATCCGGGATAAGGCTTATATGTGCCTGTATAGAATTACGTATGTTTTCTTGTCACTCAAATCTGTCCTATTGTTTTAACTGCTGCTTTTTGTACAAATCATTTTCTTTCAAACATGACACTTAAAAAGATTGATTCTCCAATTGCCTGATTCCGGCGTAGTTGTATTTTAAACTTGGTTTCCTCTCGCAGGCTTGAGCAGTTTAACGATGTATTGGTCCAGGAAAACGTTGTGAGTTTTCCTGTGAACTCTCCTTTGTTTGACTTGACTGGTTTAGACTCGGTCACTCGTGAGGAGCCTCATTCTCTACAGGTTCACCTAAAGGTAGCTGAAGTTGATATGCCTCCTCGTTTTAGAATGATTAACTGCTACACTTACGCTATGGATGTGCTCAATTTTGTTTCAGGAGTGTTGGTACAGTAATGTTGTCTACTTGGGCAAGGAGCATGATATTCCGATACTAACAATGACGTATGTGTCAAAGATTTCAGTTTTCATCGTCTCTCCCATTTTTCTGTTTTCTTTTTTGTCATTAGTGTTATCTTGTCGATTTACTTGTGAAATCTTTACAGGTAGTGAGAACTCAATCCCTTTGGTCATCTTTCATTTAATAATATGCAGGTGTACAAAATCAGAAATGGATGGCTACAAATCCGGAGAGTTTCCGTTGTGTGCTCCGGCCAAAAATTACGTCAACACAATAGCGAGGGGCTTGGTGGAAGGAAAACAACTCTCACAGGAGGCGGCTATGGCTTACTTACAAGAAGCTTCTGTTAAACCATTGGGATGACAACTTTTCATCCTCTCAGCATTTGTAAATCTAGCTCATTTGTATAATTCCTTATGCCGGAAACGGAGATTTATGGCCTTCATAAGGCCAAACGTGTAACGTAGTTGAGATGTTCTAGACGTTAATATTGATACTGTAGTTAGCACCCTAAAAAGTTGAAATGGATCATATTAGTCTCTCTGCCTCTAAGCAGATTATCAATTGTTACTATTGTTCACAAGTATTTATTATTCAAGAACTCAACTTCAAAAGATATAACGCACAAAATATGATCACTTTTCGCTTTTGATTTGTTAATTTTGCAGGGTTTGGGACCGAAGGTGCAATACAGTTTATTTCAGGGTGTGAAGAAGTTGGCCAGTAGTATTTCAGGGGTGGCAAACTAAATGTCTGCCTGAAAACATTAAGAACAGCGTTTTTTCGAAGAAATGACAGGAGCATGTTTTTTGCGACGGTTTTCGAGATATAGCAGCGGTTCATTAACTTTTAGCGACCAAATTATTTCCTAACAAGGGTAAAGGTTTTAGTGACGTAAAGTTTCGTCGCTAAATATTTAAACCTGTTGCTAAAAATATTTTTATTGACGATTTTCATATCGCCGCTTTTAAGTTTGCTGCGACTAAAAGACCGCCGCTAAAAATCGGAAACCTTGAGCCTGCTCCCGTGCAAAAATTAGTACAACGGCTTCAACTATCACATCACTAAATCCTTCTCCACTCTGTATACGTATCCATACTACATCAAAATATCCATAACACTATCAAATTACATGATATCAAGCTCACAACACACTTGAACTGGGAAAGAGTTTTCGTATAAGCCACCCCTTGTAGACGTCATCCGTTTTCTCCAATAAATTTCACTTCCATAAACATACGGGCTGAACATTCTCTGTGCACCTTTCAGCACTGCATCCAGCCAGCCGCTGTACCTAAAGTTCCCGATATTAGATGGAAATCCGAAAAGCTGTTTGCTATCGAGTCAGACATTCATTGCATGAGAAACAGAACGGTAGACAAATTTATGGAAAATACCACATCCACTAGATAAATTTTCCTTCTCACATTTTCGGTACAATTTGAAATAACAGTCGACACAAGCTTTACAAAGACGTTACTAAAGTTACATGCTTTATAACGAGATGAATATCAAAGCTCACTCTCTCTTCTACGATAGCAAAAAGATTACTATTGTTGTAGTTCTTCATCACAAAGTGGAGGCTGCCACCAAATTATCTTGCACAAAATACTTCTCCTTTTTGATCATCTACGTTTATTTCTAAACGTTCTACATCTACGTTTCTAAACAGTTTAGTTTCTAAACGTTCTACATCTACGTTTAATTCTACCTTATGTTATACCCAATGCAGAGTGCACACTTTGTGCCATATGAAATCATCAACTTAAATGCTTAAACAACATCCCAAAGAGAGTCCAATAAAATTTTCGAACCTCCCAACCACAACATGTTTGCAAGATAAACCGCTTTTATTTGAAAACAAAAAATGCCATTGTCTGAACATACAAGTTGCAATTTGACAAGAAAATAAATGTTAAGCAATTTCATTCCTTTTGAGAGCACACACAGTTGAATTCATAAAAGCTATGAACCAAACAAGGTGACAGCTTCAGATACATACCCTTTATGATAAAAGAGGGTGGTTGTACCTGTATCTGATTACCCAAAAGAATGGAATGCTTCCTGCAGAGATCTTTGACTATTTCTGTAACTTATCAAAATGAATGTATTGCTGCCGACCAATGTCACAATGCTCTTTCTATGGTTGACAATTTAATCACACCCAGTTAATATTCATCAACTGTTCCCTCATCGATACTTCAGCTTCGAATGTCCAGTGTCACCCAAATGCATATGTAACTTGTTTCTGTCATCATAAAACCATCCAAATACAACTAATCAATATCTAATATCATGTATAGCAGCAGTACATAACTGCCAACCAGATGTCAAGGCCGATCACCAGAAGTGGAAGCAACATTGCATCAGAAGAAACATAATTACCTTGATTCGAACTCCTCTCCACATGTATCACATACATTGCCAGTATTCTTCGATGCTCCCTGCTTGATTTAACAACTGTTAGATCTCATTAATAATAAGTACCAAAACATATTATGTGGAAAAGTTAAATATCCAATGAGACCTAACCGTAGTTAAATAAAGCACCCGGATGTAACAACTAACAAAAAACTTCCGATAATGCATTTTGAACATACAATACATGCAGTTAGGATATAAGCATTCAATCTGAGTTTCAAGGTTACAAACCCAACAAGCGAGTAGATTATACACATTATGGTATTTGGTGAAGCAGAAAAGCGAATTCAGAAAGCAAGAACTTTACCTTAGCTTTCTTCCCTTTAGATGAGTTCTTTGATTTGTCGTTTGCCTCTTTCTTCACTTTCTCTTTCTTATCGACCGCTTTGCTTGAGCTCTTCTTCTTTCGTGCTGACAGTTCATCCCCTTTATCAATACTCTCCTTTTCCACAACAGAATGAGATGTGGATTCCTTCATAGTTGAATTATCTTGTTCATTACTCTCCTCATTCTGACCACCGTTGTTTTCACTTTTATCAACATTATTAGCTTCACCACCATTCTTCTTACTCCTCTCTTTCCTGGCTCCTCCTTTCCTTCTTGCACTCTTCCGGTTATTATATTCCATGAACTCAGCATCATCGTCATCATTCTCCACACGAATATCGTTAACCAAGATATCCTCAGGTTCAACCCTAAAGGATACCTTTTTCTTACTCTTTCGCCCGGTCACCATTGCTTCGAGAACATCCATTTCATCTTCATCTTCCTCACCATCCAACCCAACTGCCTCGTCAACCTTTTCGCTCCCATTTTCACCACCAAATTTGCGCAACTCATCCTCCTGATCACTCCCTCCTACCCCATCTTCCTCCTCCCCAATCTTCAACCCCTCTCTAATCTCCTGACCTAATTCATCAACATCGCCAAGCTCACCCCTTTCTTCACCCTCTCCCTCCAAAACGTCTTCATCATCAACTTCAAGCTCTTCATCCCCAACTGACTCCTGAAACTCTGCAATTTTATCGCGATGCTTCTTCGACTGCTCGTGATTCTTCCACTGCTTCTCACTCTTAAACTTCTTCCCACACACCACACAATACAATTCCTTCCTCCTCCTCTCCTCCTCCTCGTCCTCCTCCAATTCCTCAACCCCATTGCCTCCTTCCTCCTCCTCCTCCACTTTCGCCCACGCCGGCTCCTCATACGCCATAGCCCTCTCCAATTTCTCCTTCTCCAACTTCTTCTTCCTCTCTCTCTCCTCCTCGCTCTTCCTCACCCTCTCCTCCTCCTTCTTCAGCATCATATCCATCACCCTCTTATCCCTCTTCTTCACAAAATCCGACAACCCCCGCACCGTCTCGTTGAACTCTCTCTTCGCCTTCTTCCTCACCTTCTTGTTTTCCTCCTCCATCAGCCTCCTCGACTTCCGGTTCGGACCGGCCAACACGTCATACATGTCCTCCCAGCAAAAATCCATCACCGTACAAAAACCTGCCCAGTAGTTGTAAAACGCGGTGACCTGCGCGTACGGACTCTCTAAATTCCCCATCGCTGGAGCTTCACGCACGGTGTCCAACCCTAACCCTAATTTCCTAGCAAAATTGAGCTCGTTGGCGTAGATTTTGTCGAAGACATCGGAATATACCTTATAAAATCCGCGGCCGGAGTCGGAGTAGCCGGAGAATACGGTGGTGGAGAAGAAGGGGAAGAGATTAGGGATGCCGGAGCCGGAGGCCGAGGCGGCCGATCCGCGGTCGGAGAAGAGGATTTGGGAGCGGTGAGAGTCGTACCAAGCTCGCTCTTTGGGGTCGGAGAGGACCTCGTAGGCATGGGCCAGCTCCTGGAACTGGGCCGTGGCTTCGGACTGGGACAAGCCGGACTGGACTAGCTTGTCCGGGTGGCGCTGGAGAGCGAGCTTCCTGTAAGCCGACCGGATCTCGTCGGCGGAGGAGTCGCGGGGGAGACCTAAAACCTCGTAGTGGCACCGCCTCTCCGACGCCGCCATGTTTTTTGAGATGTTTGCCCAAATCGTGGAATTTTGACAGCTCCCCGTCTTGAGTTATAACAAGGGTACTTATGTCTTTGTATGCAAGGACACGGATAATGTACGAAGTCCCGCTGAGATTAAGATTGGATGAAACGTACAACAAACTCAAAGGCTCAAACCCCAAAAAAAATCGACAATTTATATGACACGAGTGCATTTAATTTGCATTATATATTTAGTGAAATAAACATGCGTAGTTAAAAACTTAAATATCTTATTTTGTGGGCATGGGACGTCAACATGACTTTCATATCATGTGGTGTATATATTTATATTTGTAAGTGAGAGATTTGAAGTTGGCACTCTCTTCGATTTCTTTGGGGTGAACCAATACAGAATTATTATGATTGGTTGATTAGTGACCTAGTCTAAATTTCTAGCATGAAATATTTCATGATCTTTTTTCTTTGACAAACGATAAGATAATTACACTAAATTCATTTAAACTACGAAAATGAGAAGATTCGAACTTGAGTCCAAGGAGTGCTTGAGCAAGAATAAGAAATCTCAAAAAACAAAATTGAAGGAGAGGATCGATAAGACGACACTACTCCTCCATGTAAGAATCGCATGGAGTAGCAAGTGTCAAAACAAAAGTTTTGATTGAATTCTAAGGAATGACGATATTGACTTGCGGCTCTCATATTCAAGGATTATAGTCGATTTTCAATTTCAGAAATCATCTTGCTTGGATGGGTTTCGTAACTTGTTCTCCCTATATATAAGATGTATTTATTCTACAGGAATTCAATGTATAAATACTCCAATAACTTATATAAACTTTAACCTTGGCATCTTTTGTGTAGTATTTTCCAATTCACACTACAATCCTTTCACTCGCACACAGCTTCCTACCAAACACCCAAATACACACTTCCTTATTCATCTTCCGACGAGTTTTACACGCCGGAAAGCATATCACGCGGTACAAATTAGAAGAATGTTACAGTTACTATACTGATGCAGCAGCGCAGGCAGCGTAACGAAGAAACAATACTACAAAATAAAGTATAATCTCGGGCTGAATTAATCCAAGGAACGTATCAAGTCTTGCAAATTGAAAACAAGCCAATCAGCCTTTGCTGCAACAGCCTCGCGTAGTTGAACGCCAGCAT